GGGTAATAGCACGTTTCATCTGCCATTGTGCTCTCAAGTGTGATAGTTTCGGGTTTTTAGACCTTATTCTGGAGGAGCTTAAACATAAGTCTAGGATCAAAGATCAGTTTCTTGTCCCGAACTGGAGTGGAGTTTGTGACATATTCATCTTCTGTGTTGTGTGCAGCAATACATGGACTCGGAGATCAGAGCGATAATGGCGCAGTACATGCCGCTGGACAGCCAGCCCGAGGTCCACAACCACTTGGACGATGAACGCGCCTGAAAGGGCGGAATGCCTTACGGCCTTTCGCTTATTTACTCCGCCGCAAAATGGCTCAAGGTGACCACGTTCTTTTTTTTACACTTTGGGAGCTCCTTGAGATGCATTTTGAAAAGAAAAAAGATTGTAATCTGGCATGAGACAGGAACAGGGGTTGAGAGATTTTAGAATGGCTTTGGTGTTGTGGGTAGTGTTTGTTTGTTTGTTTGTTGTCTTTTGGTCTTTTTTATTAATAATACACCTACACTTCCATTAGGGCAAAAACTCATGGTACTGTTAGCAACCACACCAGAGAGGTGATTACAATACAAGCACAATCTCATTTTTTGCAAACTCATGGAATCCATGCAAGTGGGTTTGCTTTATAATTTTTTGGGTTGGGTTTAACCCAATAAAAATACACTAAAATTTAAATGGATCGACCTAACCAACAAACCCAACTAAACCCATCACCCATCAAACCCAATTAATAAATTAAACAATAATTAATTTATTATCTAACTCATAATATTAATGATATTTTCTATAGAATCAAATTCAATTCGTTCGTATATATTCGATTGATTCTTCGAATCAAATTCAATGTATAGTATTCAACTGCGTAAAACTCATAAAATGATGTCTATCATCAAATTTGTACCGTTGGAAGAATGACTACCTCTACTCTATAGATGATCATATTCAGACTTCACAATTGGTAAATAGTTTCGATAAAATTAGACGTTCCATAATCGAATTTTCATTACACTTTCAAACAATAGTAAATAAGATACATATCACTTTTGTACATATTTTTTTTATAGTATAAAGGGTTTTTAATATCATTGCTTAAAATGACTTTTCACATTTGTTTCAAAATAATATTGACATCTAATACTTTTGAAACACTTTTCAGATACTCTTCTTATGTTATAAATAACTCTTTTATCATAGATGAAAAATAGTTTCAAACAAAACTAAAATACAAAACATTATACACAAACACATTTTATCAGTAAATCTCTATTTTGTCGAAATTTTTAGTGTTTTTATCTAAATTCATAGGGTTCTATCCCAGACTGCAGTTATGTTGGAGCACCACTTTGCTAGATAACCACATGATGCTTCACAAGATTCATTCACTACTTGCATTGATATTTCATTGTCCTACACAAAGAGGATTGTTACATGTGTAGTACAAAGAGCTTTGGAAATATCAAATAAAAATGTATTAAATGAACAATTGTGTCATTAAGAAGTATTTGAAAAACTCCGACCATTCAACTTGAGAAATTGTTGCGAAGTAAAAATTGGAGGTTGTCAAAGAGTAAGTTATTTTATATTATTTTATTAGTTAACTTGATATAATTGTTGAATGTTATAATAATTAATTTTTCTTTTTTTTAAAACAAATATGTGATATAATTTATATTATTTTATTAGTTAACTTGATATAATTGTTGAATGTTATAATAATTCATTTTTATTTTCTTTTGAAAACAAATAAGTGATATAACTATTAGAAAAATTAAAACACTAACAGAATTAAATCATCAAAAAATTAATAAACTCAGCCAAGTTTTTATTTTCTATATATAATTTTTATAGTTTATTTAAAATATTTATATAATTTTTATATTTTATTTAAAATATTCTTTTATATTTTTTGTAATTAAATGATTGATTGACTTAATTATATGATATATATTTGAAGATATGAGTAAGATATTATAAAAAGAAATCAATTTTCCATCCCACAAATAAAGATTGTAAATACACAATATATATAAAGTGAAAAAGATTACAACTTGTTATTATTATTCCTTTTTAATATGATACAAGAAAGGATTAATATTTAATTAAAATATTTTATTTTCAATACTACAGATTTCCATACAAAACACTCTCCACCGTTTCACGATGATGACAATACAAAAACTTGTCTTTATAACAAACTATTAACTATATATTCTACCATTATTCATTTAAAATACATAGAAAAATAAAAATGAATTATTTTTAGTGTAACGAAGCGCAACCGCTACGAAATATCGAAATTACCCTCACACAATAATACGAGATCTTTCAACGTGTTTTGTCCTCACTTGCACGCATACCGCGATATTTTTCAGTAGATCATCCATCTTGAAATTTCTCAAGAGTCAGCACGTTTAATTTTGGAATTCTCTCGGGATAGTCAACCGAAAAGGTAGTTGTACCTTGTTGCTTTGAGTGATCCAACTAATTATTTTATGTTATCTCAAACCATATAGTCTCATTCCTATAAAGCCTTCGGATCTCTCTTATTCGGGTGCGTTCGATTCATCCTTGTATCCCTTTGGCTTTAGTGGTACTCGGGGAGCCGCTCCTGTCATCGCACCAGCGAATACTCACAACCCTCATCGTAGCTCGGGATATCACATGTTCACCAGCTTCCCCTGGTTTGTCCTCGAACTACACCGTACTGGGAGAGTATCGGTTCTGATACCATCTGTAACGACCTGCGGCCGCTACGAAATGTCGAACCTTCCCTCACACAACAATACTAGACCTTCTAGCGCGTTTTGTCCTCACTTGCACGTATATCGAGACATTTTCCAATAGTCACCTATCCTAAAATTGCTCAAGAGTCAGCACACTTAATTTTGGTGTTCTCTCGGGATAATCAACCGAAAAGGTAGGTGCACCTTGTTGCTATGAGTAATCCAACTAATCCTTTTATGTTATCTCAAACCATATAATCTTGTTCCTATATAGTTCTTGGATCTCTCTCATTCGGGTGCGTTCAATTCATTCCTTATCTTTTTACCTTAATAGTATTCAGAAGTCACTCTTTGATCGTGTCAAAGCAAAGTGGAACACTCTCAACCCTCATCGTAGTTCGGGATATCATATTTTTAGAATGATTTTAAAAGATAAATTTTTTTTAAGTATAACAGTTTAGAGCTGTTTATACAAATACAAAAGTTTATAATTCTTGTAAGTTTATTTTTTTTTAAATGTAATAGTTTAAGATTTTTTTATAAGTCTCAATGGCAACCAAAGCCAACAATTACAAACATTTTTTAGTCACTGGGCTTTTATTGGACTTAATGGACTATTATGAAATATGATGGAAGGTCCAAGATGCGATAAACAAAATAGTAATAATTTATATGAATATGTGGCTTAGAGAAATGAGAAATCAGCCAATAGATCTAATCTTCGTCATAATGATGACGTGTAGTAATATTATTTGTCCAAATTTTGGTTGGGAAAACACGTGAATCTCATTTAAAACAACGGTGGAATCTTTCTGTATCTCCTCGAGGACCACCACGAGATTAGTACCGGTTAATTTTGTAATAACAAGTCCATTTCAAATATATATATATATATATAATTAGTATAAATTTTTATAAAATTGATTTAAATAATTAACAATAACTTCGATACATATATTGGTACGGTTCTCAAGATTTTGGTTGGATCTCGTGCACGAAAAGGGGTATTTAGGGGTGTAAATTTATAGTTTGAGTTTGATCTTGGTTTAAATATTTATTGTAACATTGTTTTATAAAAGCATACACGAATTGGGTTTTATCTTTTGATTTGATAGATACGATTTGCTTTAAAACTGCGATTTTTTAAAAAGATGTATGTTTTTATTCGTTTATTGCGATTTTATATTTATTTAACTCTGATTAATTTAATTTTAATAATTTATATATAGTAAAAAATTATCTGGATTTTATTATATCTTGTTGAGTCGTGTTATATCAAAGAGATAAGATAGAAGATGTGCAATAATGAGATGCACGCAACGTTCTAAGTTGAATATTTGCTACGTTGCGTTTGTGTTTTTTTTTTTACCCACAAGTGTTGATTTAATAATTTAATAATTCATTGTAATTAAAAGCATCACTAATGCACAAAAGAGGTACCCCACATAGATACGTACATTAATGTAAGACTTAAATGCTTGAATTTTTAGTAGATTTTATAATTTTTTTAATTTAAATAGGTTATCTCCTATCTAAATATGGGAATAAATGTAAAACACAAAAAATAATTAACTTAGCATATGGTTGGTAGTAAATCTTTATTATTGTTTTTTACGTCAAAAAATAAGTAATATATTTGCTTATTAATGATTCTAAGAATTGATGATCCTAATTTTTTTTTTAAATTCTAAATCTAAGTGTGGATAGATAATTTCTTACATTTTTATCATTACCTTTAATAAGTAATATATTCCAACAAAATATGTCACAATCGTGTAAAGTTTTTTAGTTTAAAATGTCTGTAAATAATTACTTTTAAAGATACTATGATTTTTCCTCTAATCACACAGATTCTATTTGCATTTAACATATCACTAATTACAAAACGATCATTATACCACAGAATAACAATTTATTCATAATACTTTTTTGGTAAAAGTTTTGCTAATTTAAAGCAATTCATTTTTTTTTTCACTTTATTGTGTAATATATATAGTTTATATTAACCCGTATATATATATATGTATATATTACCTACAAAAATAAAAGTGTATTTATATTAACTTATTACAAAACGACCACTATACCATGGAAATATTTGTATTTCCCTATTTCTGGTAATTCCTAAAAGGTTATCAGGATATCTTCTTCTTATTTTCAAAATTAATCATTAAGATTTTAAGAAACATATTCTTTTTTTTTTTGGTGGATGGAAAATCGGAAGCAGCATTTTCCAATGTTTTCGTTTCTCTCACTTGTACTTGTACGATACCAATCCACCATTTTGATTGACCCTGACTTCAGAAATCCCTCGTCTTCCCCACCAGACCAGCAAGTGAAAAAAACCCCGATTTTCTCTTCGTTTCTCGAGAAACACCCGAAAATTTTTTCCTCCTTTTTCCCTCGAACCCTTGAAGACGTTACACATATACAAGGAAGAGTTTTTCAATCATAGCCTCGCGCATGCGCCGATTCCACCAATCTCCTTCTCCCTGATCGTTTTTCCCAAGAAAGTAACGACCCTTCTTCACCATTTCCTTTCCTAATTGGTTTATCGCGGCGGAGATCTCGGCTATGAAGCACCATCAGGAGCAGAAGCAAAAGCAGCTCATGGGTCTTCTCCCTTGGCTGCTCCTCTGCTTCCTGACGTCACCGATTTGCGACGCGAGATTCGTGGTGGAGAAGAACAGCTTGTCGGTTACTTCACCGGAGAGTATCAAAGGAACCCACGACAGCGCCATTGGCAACTTCGGGGTCCCTCAGTACGGAGGAAGCATGGCGGGGACTGTTGTTTACCCTAAGGAGAATCAGAAGGCTTGCAAAGAATTCAGCGATTTCTCGATTTCTTTCAAGTCTCAGCCCGGCGCTCTGCCTACCTTCTTACTGCTCGATCGTGGAGGTATAATCCTTTTTTTCCGTATTTTAGATTGATCCGTTGTTCGTTTTGCTTGGCTAGGGTTTGTAGTTAGGTCTACTTGGATTTGAACGTATTAAAGTCCGGGTTTTCCGGTGTAATTTGTGGCTCGATAGCTCATTTTCTGTATACCCTTTTGGGGGTTTCCGGCCAATTCTTCTTATTGAGTAAGAATTGGGTTTATCATTGATTGACTCGGGTTTTGTGTTCATCTAGATCTTGAGATCCGATGTAAGGGGTTAAACTTTATGATCTATCCTGTCTTTGTTGTTCGAGGAGAAAAGTGTCATAGTCTTTTGGGGAACATCGCATGTGTCCAGTTTAGAGATTTTAGGTATCGTTAGTCAGTTTGGTCTTTTTGGGAGGTGTTGCCATTCTTATTATATCTTCTCTCCCCTCCTAAACGCGGGTTGCTGCCTGGATTTTGTTTCCTGTTTTACTTGTCTTAGCATCATCTATGTTATTGATTAGCTGTTGCGCCTGTGGTGTTGAGATCCAAACGTCGTCTTCTTTTAGGTTATTCTGTATAAGCGAAAGGTGTTGCTTAATGTAACGAGCAATTGTTTTTGTATTGTAGATTGCTTTTTTGCTTTGAAGGTGTGGAATGCACAAAAAGCCGGTGCTTCAGCTGTGCTTGTTGCAGACAATGTTGACGAACCTTTGATTACAATGGATACACCGGAAGAAGATGTTTCGTCTGCCAAATACATTGAGAACATAACAATACCTTCTGCTCTTGTCACGAAAAGCTTCGGGGAAAAAATGAAGAAGGCTATAAGCAGAGGCGATATGGTCAATGTTAATCTTGACTGGAGAGAAGCTGTTCCCCACCCTGATGACCGTGTGGAGTATGAATTGTGGACCAACAGCAATGATGAGTGTGGAGTCAAATGTGACATGATGATGCAGTTTGTGAAGGATTTCAAGGGTGCAGCCCAGATTCTCGAGAAAGGCGGTTACTCTCAGTTCACACCTCATTACATTACTTGGTATTGTCCACAGGCTTTCACGTTGAGCAGACAGTGCAAGTCCCAGTGTATCAACAAGGGACGATACTGTGCTCCTGATCCGGAACAAGATTTCAGCTCAGGTTACGATGGAAAAGATGTGGTTATGGAAAACTTGAGGCAGCTCTGTGTTTACAAGGTGGCAAATGAAAGTGGAAAACCCTGGATTTGGTGGGAATATGTCACTGATTTCCAGATCAGATGCCCCATGAAGGAAAAGAAATACAACAAGGATTGTGCTGATTCTGTTATCAAATCTCTTGGTGGGTTCTTCTTCATTGTCTGAAATCAAAGAACTGAAAACCCCTTCTGTTGAGCGAATAAGGGTATTTTTCTGTCTTTACAGGACTTGATGGTAAGAAAATTGACAAGTGTATTGGTGACCCTGATGCTGACTCGGACAATCCAGTTCTGAAGCAGGAACAAGATGCTCAAGTAAACGTCTTGCCTCTTTTACTCTGGATCTTTCTGCTTGCATCTTATAACTTATTTAGTTTGAGAAATTCAAGTATGGATGTTTAACTTTGCCACTTCATGTAGGTTGGCAAGGGTTCAAGGGGTGATGTTACCATATTGCCCACCCTAGTCGTCAACAACAGACAGTACCGAGGTTTGTCTTTGGAGTTTAACTTGTCAATATTAAGATTGGAAGATGGATTTGTATGAACTTTCGCTGCTTTTTTCAATGTCGAAACACTTAGAATGCAATGTGATAGAACTGTTTTTAACAGGTTTCAAATTGTTAACCCACTCGCAGGTTAGCTACTTAGCTTGCTGACCGATAATGGTAACGCCAAGGATGACCTAAGGCTCCCCACCGACGAGACTCTGCTCAGACAAGTTAGTGTTGCCTACTCATCCCATAATATCCGTCTCTTTTGTGCACTTTCTTCCACTTATAGATTTATACGATACCGTAATACCGGTATCTATAAGAAAACCATGTAAAAATTAAAAAAAGTATATTTTATATTACAGTTATGTATATTTGTAAACTTAGATTGAATATAAAAATAATAAAAACAGTAAATTTATTTCAATCTATTGTAATTTCAGATTAGATTTGTCTACTTGATATTTAGTTTGGTAAAAATCAATATGTTATAATAATTTTAAAAATATAACAAATTATCTTTATTTATATGTTAATTATGATTATTAAAATGATAGGATTTTAACATCTAATTATATTTAGTAGAATAAAAAGTTAAAAAACTTAAAATGGCGAATGAAAACAAAAAACGTATCATTATGCATATTTTGGTGCTCATTAGTGATAAAGAAAATCAATTTGGCAATTATTATTTAGAGATAGTTAGAGAAGGTAATCATCAGTTACGTGGAAAATTCATAAATATATTTCAATGAGAAATGTGATGGGGTTAACTGATATTAATAAACATTACGTTATAATTCATTGAAAAGTCACGAAAATTACAACGACACATATTGCGATGAGAGAGAAAGAAACATTCGCACTAATACTTATATTTATTACACAGTATTATTGGCACGTTCTTTCCCAAATCAATAATTGTTCTTCTTCATTGTCTGAAATCAAAGAACTGAAAACCCCTTCTGTTGAGCGAATAAGGGTATTTTTCTGTCTTTACAGGACTTGATGGTAAGAAAATTGACAAGTGTATTGGTGACCCTGATGCTGACTCGGACAATCCAGTTCTGAAGCAGGAACAAGATGCTCAAGTAAACGTCTTGCCTCTTTTACTCTGGATCTTTCTGCTTGCATCTTATAACTTATTTAGTTTGAGAAATTCAAGTATGGATGTTTAACTTTGCCACTTCATGTAGGTTGGCAAGGGTTCAAGGGGTGATGTTACCATATTGCCCACCCTAGTCGTCAACAACAGACAGTACCGAGGTTTGTCTTTGGAGTTTAACTTGTCAATATTAAGATTGATTCTCTTCCTTATAACAGTTGGTCGCAGGTAAGTTGGACAGGAGCGCAGTTCTCAAGGCCATCTGTGCGGGTTTTGAGGAGACTACTGAGCCAGCTATATGCTTGAGTACCGGTAAGTTGGTCTGTAATTTCTGATTTATTTAGGTTGATGCATGTTTTATTAACCTATATGCAGGTAAGGGTGGTTATATCGAATTTCAATGCTTTAAAAATCTTAAAGCCTTTTGGGTCCGTGGAGTTGCCTAGTATTGAATGTTGATTTAGAATGGAAATTGGTCAATCATCAAGGAAAATGGCTGGAGAGGAAACTAACTAGTGATTCTGTTTTCCACTAGTGTCTAATAGTTTACAGGTGAAATTTTAACCTTTAGTGTCTAACAGTTGAAGATGGTATGTTAACTTTTCGCCTTCTATTACATTTGACAGATATGGAGACAAACGAATGCTTAGATAACAATGGTGGTTGTTGGCGAGATAAGGCAGCCAATATAACAGCTTGCAAGGTATATAGTGACACATTTTATTTGGTAAATATATAGTGATATTGCGAGGCAAGTGTTTTTGTACTACTGTAATCTGCTTTATGTGCAGGATACTTTCCGTGGCAGAGTATGCGAATGTCCTCTTGTGGATGGTGTACAGTTCAAAGGAGATGGTTACAGCCACTGTGAAGGTAAGACCGATGTCTAACATCGTTTTATTAATCTAATTATTTCATAGAGCCTAATATTTTAACCGTTACCTGAGGAGATGGAAGTCCTAGTTGAATCTCCGAAAGAGTGATTCGTTTACAAGAATCATTTACAAGAATCCTGATCATTTGCAAATTACTTTTGGTTCAAAAGTTTCATTGGAACACTTGGTTGAACTCTCAAATTCCATCCTTGTCATCTGGGTATATCATAGATATGATGAACTTAGTGGTATGTCCATGTTGCTGTCATGCCTGCGTGCCGTTGGATGTCGCATTTCATATTGTCTCCGGTGTTTGTATTGCAGCAAGTGGACCTGGAAAGTGCACTATCAACAATGGAGGTTGTTGGCATGAAGAGCGAAATGGACATGCGTTCTCTGCTTGCGTGGTTAGTGCTTTTCATACACCTCTCCTTTCAAATATTCACTTCAAAAATGAAACATAGGGTTATTTTCTTGAATTTGTCACATGATCAGGGCAAGGACAGTGCTAAGTGTCAGTGCCCTCCAGGATTTAAAGGAGACGGTGTAAACAAGTGTGAAGGTCAGACCCCGCGGTTCTATTTTGGCATTCTGTATTTCAGTATATACCATTTTTACTAGTACGTAATCTGGTTTTCCCTCGTTTTCCCTTGAAAAGACATCGATGAGTGCAAAGAGAAGAAAGCATGTCAGTGCCCAGAGTGTAGCTGCAAGAACACGTGGGGAAGCTATGAGTGCAGTTGCAGTGGTGACCTTCTCTACATCAGGGACCATGACACTTGCATCAGTAAGTTTCGTTATCGAGGTTTCTATCATTCAATGCCATAACATGATGATCATGAAGATTACATACATGTGTATAACAACGGGTAATCGACAATTTCCGCCTTTTTTGTTTGTTTGAAATTCCATCAGGCAAGACGGGTTCGCAGGTCAGATCAGCATGGGCGGCCGTATGGCTCATCTTGTTATCTCTGAGCCTTGCAGCTGCTGGAGCATACCTTGTTTATAAATACAGATTGAGGGTAACAGCTCGTTTCATCTGCCATTGTGCTCTCAAGTGTGATAGTTTCGAGTTTTTTATTCCTTATTCTGGAGGAGCTTAAACATAAGTTTAGGATGAACTTCAAAGATCAGTTTCTTGTCCTGAACTGGATTTGAGGCATAAGTCTAGGATTGAACATCATCAAAGATCGGTTTCTTGTCCCGAACTGGATTTTGAGACATTTATCTTCTGTGTTGTGTGCAGCAATACATGGACTCAGAGATCAGAGCGATAATGGCGCAGTACATGCCGCTGGACAGCCAGCCCGAGGTCCACAACCACTTGGACGATGACCGTGCCTGAAAGAGGGGAAGGCCTTACCGCCTTTCGCTTATTTATTCCGCCGCAAAATGACTCAAGGTGACCACGTTCTTTTTCCTTAGACTTTCAGAGCTCCTTGAGATGCATTTTGTAATAAAAAAAAAGAAAAGAAAAAAAATTTGTAATCTGGCAATGAAACAGGAACAGTGACAGAGAGATTTAGAATGATACTTTGGTGTTGTGTTCAATTTTAGCATGTGGGTAGTGTTTGTTTGCTGTCTTTTGGTCTTTTATTAATAACACACTTACACTTCCATTAGGGCAAAACCTCATGGTACTGTTGGCAACCGCACAATACAAGTACAGTCTCATTTTTTCAATGTCTTTTTTTTTTGTTTTTTTTTTGTTTTCCTCTCAATTTGGATATTATTTGGTCCAAAGTTTTCGATTTTACAGTTTGAATATGTTAAGTGAGTTTCGATTTTTAATAGTAATCGGGTAAATTGAATGAATTGAAATAAATATTTCATAACCTTTAAAACTAATTTTATATATAATTTTATTTTACCTTTGAAAAATCTATACCATAGATTATATCCTATTATTAAGATTTATCGTAGGAAGTAATGTTTAAATTTACAAAAAAAAAATACAACCGGAGGAGTAATAATATGACTTCACATTATATCCCATAGATGTGATTGATAATCAAATTAAAATTTTTGTTGTGCTTCCAACACACTATTATTTAGGCATCTATCATATTTGACATAGTTTATATATTCAACAATTTTAAAAAAGTTTAATACGATTACAAATTATACGACTTAGAAAAATGAAACAAACCAAATTAAATTAATGACACAAAGAATGGGTAAGAAAATTAGAATTTGTTATGCAGTTGTGCCCCAACTTGTGTCGTGTGGATATATATATATATATCTCCACACACACGTATTTGCTGTCTGTATGGAGACATAGTCTAAAAATAATTATTCCTGGCATAGGGCTTTCACTTTTAATTTTATTTATTTCTCGACGGTATATACTCTTTTAATTCTGTCTATAGTTTTTATTACAAATATTTAAATCATTATGCAAAATGGTCAAATAAATAATGCTCTTCGTATTTATAATAGCATATGGCTATGGCCCTTGTGGAATTGTGTTGTGTCCAATCTTTATATAGTTTTTTTTTTGGGTAATGGCAATCTTTATATAGTTGATTAGAATAAGCACATTTCATCTGTGAATACATTGCCTAATAAATAATTTTTAGAATGAGAACAAATAAACAATAGATATATATTATATATATGATAGTCAATATGAATTTATAATATTCAATAATTACATAGTAACACAAAGCATATATATTTTGTTTTTCTAGAAAATTATAGAGAGAATATATTGTATTGTATTTACTAAGTTTTTTATTTTTGTTGTATGAGAATTTATATTTTTAAGAAATTAAGAATTCGACCAACATATGACAAAATTAAACTAATTGTCGGTAATAAGTGCTTTATAATTTGTTATTATATGATAATATGGGTTTAACTACTCGGCTCAAATGTTATTATTTAAGAAGGGAACATTCTTGTAGTGAATATTTTACTTTTTTTTTTAATTTCATTTCAAGCTAATAAATATCATGTTTTGATACGATAATTTTAGCGATTTAATTAATATTTTAGTTCTTTATAATCTTTTTATCCTCTTGAAATTATATTTAACATTTATCGGAAGGCATTATGATATGTTAACTAATACTTTAATTCAATTATCAATAACAACAACAACTGCTGTCTCTTTGACATGTAAGCTTAAAATTCAAATAACTATATAAGCAGACAATTATGTGAAAGACACAAGAGTATATATATATATGTATTATCAAGCAATATCTAAACATGCATATTTTAAATAAATTTACATAACGATCATTTCTCCCAAAATAAAATTAATCCAAAAAAGAGTCAAAATTCGAAAGTAACTCTCCATTTATCTCATGATGAACATCGTACGAGCAACTATAACCCAACTCGTCCGGATATCGGAGGGGAAAAAAAGAAAAATAAATAATATTACACTTTCGGTTATATATATATATATATATAATATGATAATTTCAAATGAAAATTTGGTAAGCATGTCCTTGAAATTATCTGAGTGCGTTAAGCTTCAAGTCGAGGCCAATGTCCATTCCATTGTATGCAATCGGTGCGTACATCCATAGATCATCAGAGCTCAATAGCTGCATGCGCCATTAATTTTATTATAAAAAAAATTAAACAATGTTGATTATAATTTTTATTGCGTATAATATTATTAGTGGGCCTTCTATACCTTGATTTGGAGTTGCAAAAATTTCACATAATGGACAGCTTCTTCCAACATGGTGCTTATATCGACCTGTGTTTTGTATTTATATAACATGTAATTAGAATTTTAACTCATGAAAATAAAATAACGATAAATGTTAAAATGTGTGTATATATATATATATATGTGTGTTTTTATGCATGAATATTTTCACCTTTGTTCCATTAGGTACAAGAGTCTGCAGAATCCTTAGTCTCTCGTTGATTCTTTCCCTTCGTTTCTGTATCAAAAATTACGAATTTGGATCAGTTTTATTAATTATTATTAAGAGAGAAAGAGAAAGGTGGCAGAAAACAATTGGGTCACCGTTCCTTTTGGTCGTGTAAAATAATGTAAATGATTTTTCTAAAAACCAAAAAGATCGAATTAGAAAATTGATATTTTTATCAATAAAAATCATATTCGAAAATAATAGAAACCGAAGTGTCCGCCCTTAGAAAACAACGTCAAGGAAATGACGGGAATACCCTTGCGTAGAGGCTCTGAGGGTCAGTGGCGGGGCCCTCAAGATCCATTTCGTGTCCAAGGACTTTTGTTCTTCTCCTCCTCCATTGGAGTCATCCTCGGAGGAACAAGTTGTGTTCGAGTTCTGTCGGTTCAATGCCGCTTTGCTCTTCGCCTCCTCTTCTCCTCCTCCTTCGTTATCGTCCTTGTTCTTCTGATTCCTCCTCGTCTTACTGTTCCTCTTGTTCTTCTGATTCAATCCCAAACCCATAGAAAAGTCAATCTACAGCTCATTTCATGGAATCATCTTCAAATTGATCTAACATTTAGACGGGCATTATGTGTATATGTATGCACTTACTCCGATCGACGTGGCACGTGACCGTTTCTTCGAGCTCTCGGAGTGGCCGAGAGATTTCTGGTCGGTCATGACGGAGATCTCCGGCTGGAGATTCTCGTCGTGACTCTCCACGACCGTCTCCAACGGCAAGTGACCGCAGCAGCTCTTGCTGCTGGAATATTCCTCGACGTTAACGTTGCAGTCGCTCGTTTCTTCGGCCACAAGGTACGAGCTCGTATTCATCGTCACGTCTAAACCCGTCGACGAGCCACCGTTAGCGACCGTGTAGTAGCAGAACCAGCGGCTCCATCGTCAGTAGCGGCGGAGGAGTTGTAAAACGGCGCCGTGTTGACGTTGAGGCTGAGCTCGTGAGAATCCACGTTCCAAAAACCGCCGGAGACGGCGGAGGAGCTGCCGGAGATGGCGGAGGAGCTGCCGTCGTAGGATGCGAGGAGTTGGTTAATGAAGTCGGCCTCCTCGGTCGTGCAAGTGTACATTCCGGGCCATTCTCCCATGGCTTCCATTTCGAAAATGATTGTAATTGTTATGCTAATTATTCTCTTAATTATGAAGCTAATCCGAATTAAGAGAGGATTATCAATTATGATATGGAGGTGCTTATGGGGAGTGAATGAATGAGGAGAGGGTTGGTGAGTATTTATAAAGGAGAACATGAGATGTAGTGGATTAATATTTTGTCAAACCAATAATCCTTTTGTATACATTAATTAATTATATAAATTAATTTTTTTATTTAACCGAGTCTTGATCCTCTAGATATTGGACAGCTAATTCTTATTTTAGAAACTCTTAAGGTAAAAAGAAATAAGTTTATATTTGAATTTCTCCCGTTAAACATTTTTTTTTTAACTTTTCGTAATCCCCAATAATTGTTTGGCTTTATCATATTCTTATTTATGTGTAAAAAATGACCAATAGTACCAATTTTTTTTTCTTTTACATTAATTGTACTTTGCATTTCCAATCTAGGGAAAAAAAAGTACAATATTCCTATAACTAACAGTAATAGCGAAAATTTTGAAAAGAAAAACACAAAATCAAATTAGATTTATTTTTGTTTTTTCTCCGTTCCATTTTCCCAGTCTAAACTAATCTTACTCGAAATCTTAAATTCTCGGATATAATTACAAATAATTGGTATTTGAAGGTAGGTTTTCATATGTTATTTTTTTATCATTTAGAAATAATTTCAATTGTATAAAAAAAATATAAAATAAACTCAGTTATACTTAATTTTGACATGTACTTAAACTTATATGTATGTCATATGTAAATTTAAATGTCAATTAAAATCCACTAAGAAAATAAATGAAGATGGAAGAAAATGGATTAGGGGACTTAGTTAACAGAAAAGGGTAGTTGTTATTTATCAATATTAAAATAAATTTCAAGAATTACAAAGTTTAATATATGAAGTGTACGTTGCAAAGTTTTAGAAAAGTTCGGTAGCGTCTTGAATAATTGATTTAAAAAATATTTAGATTTTAACCGATTCTTTTGTACTAGAAATAAGTTAATTTTGATAACATATTTCAAGATTTATAATAAAAAATCATTAAATAAATATAAATTTGTAGTTTTTATGTTATATGCAGTGTTTGAATGCTAAGTTTTATATTCCATAGGTTTAAATTAGCTATTACACTATCTCATAGAAAATTTTATTTTCAAAATATAATGTGGCATTGGTTTATCATAGTAAATTATAGATTCGTCTACACATATTAATGATTTCAATTTTCAAAAAATAATGCCTTAATATCATTTATCGAAAACATTTTTTTTTATTTTATAAACAATCAAGAACGCTTCGGCTGCTCTATCAGTTAGTTCCACGTATAATAATTATCAAAGAAAAAAATTTGGAACTATGAGTTGGTAAATAAATTTCAAAAATAAATATTTTTTTTCCGGATGATAGATAGGTAGAGATATGAAATTGAGAATCAGAGACTTGGTTGATGAACGTGGCTGTTATTGTTTGATATTTTTATTTAAATTTATAATTGTATATCTATATATCTATTTCGTAAGAGAAGAATGATGAAGAAATTAAAATAATACGAATAAAATGTTTTAAATCAAAAAGCTGCGTCAACGAACGGACGGCCGATCGTGGCCATGAAAACGCCACAAGCCATTGTGTTTTATGTTTTTTTAATTGAAAATCTCTTTAATTTTTTTTTTCAATATGTTTTGGTTAATATTAATTATACAATATAATTGTTTCAGTTAAAATATCTGTTGAGAGAACTATAATTGCCTCTTACAATGTTTGTAAGGGTTGTTATTAATCGAAATATATATATATACTCACCTAATGGCCAAAATAAAATTCGTTAATAATGATTTGTCCATAGTACATAATCTTTTTCCGACAGTGATGGTTCCAAAGGTTAAGTTTATCTATATCTCTAGATTTCCTTTATTTTCATTCCAAAATTATTATAGGTCGTCAAATCCATCGTTAAAAATCGCTAAGCTAAAATAAAAGTAAAACTAATGCATTATTTTCTTATGAAAATACACAAAATTGAGACTAGATTGAAAGAAAATGATTAAAAAAATCGTTAATGAATTGTAGGCTTTGTAAAAATAATTTTATACCTAGGGTTTCTTAGCCTTTAATTATATATATATATATATATATATATATATATATTTCTTTGATGCTTTTACTTGTGGGCCTAAAAATTATCCGTACCATTCCAATTTTAACCTAGGTTACTTAGGATGATCTCATATTTGAATGTGAAATGAGCCCTATGATTTTGTATTGAATATCATATAATGAGATTATAGACAATTTACCAAACAAAACGCCAAGAAAAAAAAATATATGAAGAAGCTAAATTCAAGGGTATACAATTTTTTTATATAATTTAGAATATCATTCGACCTTCATTTCAATTATATATATCTTTTAAATGATTGAAAAAGTTCATATGAATGTCCTGGTAGGGTATATAAATTGGTTTACCTTCCGGTTAATATACATTGTCTTTTTGGGTTGATTTACAAAAAAAATGAAAACCGGATCGAAATTAGATTGTAATGAATCGGTTTGGTCGGATTGGTTTTCCGGATGGTTTATGCATTGCATCTTATGTTCCGAATTTGTCCTAAAACTGTTTAATTTGATATTATTACGTCTTGAAATTGGAAGCAAAACCAAAACAATTAATTATATATTAGAACTGAATCAAAATTGAAACTTTAAGTTAATGGTGGTTGGCTCAACTGGTTAGTGGGTATATGCAAAGAGTACTCCACCCAAGTTCGAACCCCACCCTTGGCAAATCACATCTTATAAAAAAAAAATTGAAACTTTAGGTTTAGAATAGTTTGGTTTGATACCGTAACATGCCAACGTAGATTATCCCTAAAATGCAGCATTTCAATTTTTCAAATTGCACAGCAATATTGCTGTAATTTACTGATATAATAACGCATTTAAAAATATAAACTAACAAAATAATTAATAAAAAATTTAAAAAAATCATTATTTAAACTCTTTGTATATTTCATCTAGGTCTTCCTTTTGTCTCTCATTTTCTGGATTTTTTTTTTATCAAATTGAAGACCAACTTTCAAGCTACGCATACAGTTATCGTTAAAATTTTCAAATTCATATTATCCAATATTAATTTACAATCTAATTTTGTTCTTATAAAAGTAAAAGACTAAGGCTTTACGTTAGAATAAGGGGGAAAAGCTAAGATTTTTAACTGCAAGGCTAATATTTCAAGTTGAATTTGGTTTAACCTAATTATGTTTGAATATGATTTTGTAAAGAGTTTAACAGTTTCTCTTAAATTTTACTCGACTTTTATTGGTTTGCACCGATTTAAATAAGATATAACTAATTAAAGAAATTCAAAATAAATTAAAATATTAGATTGTACAAAAAGAGCATTTATGTGAAACTCTATAGTGATACTTAACAACCTAATGTTGAGATTTGGTTAAAAGGATGGAAATCTCTCTACCACGAGTTTCGACCTCCCGAGGAGCTAGAGAGTTTAGCGGAGGGAGGGTTTCGAGTTTAGAAGGTGATTTCTGAATCTGAATCAACGGATCTCTTTACGGAATTCGTGTTATGCGAACCCAAAAACGTTTTGAATTTACTAATAGCTACTACTGACGTCTAGTTAGTGACCGTCATATTAGAATTTCACTTCTTCCATCAAAGTGGAGATTGTTGAGATTTTGATAGAGAAATGAAAATCCTCTAAGTCTCTTAGAGGCTTTGGATGTTTTTCCATGCTCGGTTTAAGTGAACCGAAACCGGTTCACTTAAGAGATGCATTGGGGTTTATGAGCCTAAATCACGTATGGAATGTATGCTCAGAAAGAGGAGTAACCAAACACTTCTACTGTTCTTATATACAGCTTCCAAACAATCCTGCATTTTTT